TTTATGATATTATTAACAGGTTAATTTTAACATACTGATACCTTTAATAGTAATCTGTTAAAGGTTTTTATATTTATTTCATATTTATGATATTATTAACATGCTAACTTTACTGTACTGACACCTTTAATAGTAATCTGTTAAAGGTTTTTATATTTATTTCATATTTATGATATTATTAACATGCTAACTTTATGTACTGACACCTTTAATAGTAATCTGTTAAAGGTTTTTATATTTATTTCATATTTATGATATTATTAACATGCTAACTTTAATGTACTGACACCTTTAATAGTAATCTGTTAAAGGTTTTTATATTTATTTCATATTTATGATATTATTAACATGCTAACTTTATGTACTGACACCTTTAATAGTAATCTGTTAAAGGTTTTTATATTTATTTCATATTTATGATATTATTAACATGCTAACTTTAATGTACTGACACCTTTAATAGTAATCTGTTAAAGGTTTTTATATTTATTTCATATTTATGATATTATTAACAGGTTAATTTTAACATACTGATACCTTTAATAGTAATCTGTTAAAGGTTTTTATATTTATTTCATATTTATGATATTATTAACAGGTTAATTTTAACATACTGATACCTTTAATAGTAATCTGTTAAAGGTTTTTATATTTATTTCATATTTATGATATTATTAACAGGTTAATTTTAACATACTGATACCTTTAATAGTAATCTGTTAAAGGTTTTTATATTTATTTCATATTTATGATATTATTAACAGGTTAATTTTAACATACTGATACCTTTAATAGTAATCTGTTAAAGGTTTTTATATTTATTTCATATTTATGATATTATTAACAGGTTAATTTTAACATACTGATACCTTTAATAGTAATCTGTTAAAGGTTTTTATATTTATTTCATATTTATGATATTATTAACATGCTAACTTTACTGTACTGACACCTTTAATAGTAATCTGTTAAAGGTTTTTATATTTATTTCATATTTATGATATTATTAACATGCTAACTTTAATGTACTGACACCTTTAATAGTAATCTGTTAAAGGTTTTTATATTTATTTCATATTTATGATATTATTAACATGCTAACTTTAATGTACTGACACCTTTAATAGTAATCTGTTAAAGGTTTTTATATTTATTTCATATTTATGATATTATTAACATGCTAACTTTAATGTACTGACACCTTTAATAGTAATCTGTTAAAGGTTTTTATATTTATTTCATATTTATGATATTATTAACAGGTTAATTTTAACATACTGATACCTTTAATAGTAATCTGTTAAAGGTTTTTATATTTATTTCATATTTATGATATTATTAACAGGTTAATTTTAACATACTGATACCTTTAATAGTAATCTGTTAAAGGTTTTTATATTTATTTCATATTTATGATATTATTAACAGGTTAATTTTAACATACTGATACCTTTAATAGTAATCTGTTAAAGGTTTTTATATTTATTTCATATTTATGATATTATTAACAGGTTAATTTTAACATACTGATACCTTTAATAGTAATCTGTTAAAGGTTTTTATATTTATTTCATATTTATGATATTATTAACATGCTAACTTTAATGTACTGACACCTTTAATAGTAATCTGTTAAAGGTTTTTATATTTATTTCATATTTATGATATTATTAACAGGTTAATTTTAACATACTGATACCTTTAATAGTAATCTGTTAAAGGTTTTTATATTTATTTCATATTTATGATATTATTAACAGGTTAATTTTAACATACTGATACCTTTAATAGTAATCTGTTAAAGGTTTTTATATTTATTTCATATTTATGATATTATTAACATGCTAACTTTACTGTACTGACACCTTTAATAGTAATCTGTTAAAGGTTTTTATATTTATTTCATATTTATGATATTATTAACATGCTAACTTTAATGTACTGACACCTTTAATAGTAATCTGTTAAAGGTTTTTATATTTATTTCATATTTATGATATTATTAACATGCTAACTTTAATGTACTGACACCTTTAATAGTAATCTGTTAAAGGTTTTTATATTCACGATATCATTGACAGGCTAACTTTAACATACTGATATAAATAAAAGAAAGATAAAGCCATAGGGTTTAGAATACACTTTTTAAACTAAGAAAGAAATAAACCTAAAAAACCCCATAAAAGTAAGCCTAGAAACGTGTTCGGAGAAGCAATTCGCATACTTAATGAGCTTGACAAAAGCTACTTTCAAAATATGGGAAGTACGGGCCCCCAGCAGTTTCAAGGCCTTCTGATTCACTTCAAGATGTAACTTTTAAACCTTAAATGGTAATGTATTAAAGATTCGTAGATTAATATTAGCATTAGCACGCTAATATAAGCAAACCAATGTTAACAACGGAACAATTAGACAACGGGGATCAGAAAACAGGCTTTAAATGAAGAAAAATACACTTAAATCCCCAGAAAAATAGGCCTTGAAACGTCATTGGAGCAGGAATCCGCATATTTAATTGGCTGTCACAAAAGCTGACTTTAAACGCTAAAAACAGCTATTTATCAGTGATAAAAACCTAAGAAAACTATATAGTCGTGTCCGACATATTTGGAGGAGCACAAGATGAGTCTAATCTCAAAAATAATTTTGAACTCACCATCGTGTAAAAGTGCGTGCAAAAAGCACACAAATAGAAGACAATTTCAAGTTTTTTCCATTTCAGAAGTCATCACATCCAGCGGTTATTCTTCTGTGAGTGTAATGTCGGATTGGTTTGTCGTGACTTCTAGGAGGAAGGTCTGGTAGAAGCTTGATGCTCTGCATCCGCCAGTCTCGACCTCTGACCTTTTAGGAGCGTTCAAGGGTGAGTTTTTTAATATTTTACACCTATTTTGGTTTACTGTATAGCAATCTTTTTTAAATCGCTCTAACGTGCACTCCAAATAAATTAAAATCAAAAGGATCAAATCAACATCTCTACTAATGACCGGTTTAAGTTGAAAACTCATATTAACTCAACCCAGAGCCCAACCATGTAATTGTGGATCTGGTCAAGCTCGAATAGCAATTGGCTACAAGACACACGCTTGGGGATGATCGCCCAAGCGAGCCGGCCTCAGCGTGAGGGTGTATAGTGGTTAAAGGCCGAAACACCCAATGAACCTGAGGTACACTACTGAAGAGGTTGTCTTGAACATTTCTCTCAATCTAACTGATCTGAGGGATTAGGAAACAACAATAATGGCAAAAAATGCCTTCCTATAACAAATATCGTATTTGAAACGTGGCAATTTGACTGAAACAAGACTTCTTGGCAGAGCACGATGCTGGGTCGGGATTATCGGACTGTGACTTTCGAGTTGCGGTCTGGTTCGCCGATCTGGAGCAAGTTCCGTCAAGAACTTCGTGTTCTCACATCTACTCAGATCTAACTGTAGTCCTAGATCAAACCACGCTCTAAACCTAACCGCCATAACCTCAGCGACTAGAAACCTAGCCGGTTCAACTCGGGTACCGCTAAATCTAAAGCTGAACCAAACCACGCTCTAAACCTACCTGTCACAGACCCAGCGATTGTAATCTAACTATGACATCCATCGTCTTTGAAACGTGGCAATTTGGCTTAAACAAAACTTCTTGGCAGAGCACGATGCTGGGTCGGGATTATCGGACTGTGACTTTCGAGTTGCGGTCTGGTTCGCCGATCTGGAGCAAGTTCCGTCAAGAACTTCGTGTTCTCACATCTACTCAGATCTAACTGTATTGCTGGACCGAACCACGCTCTAAACCTAACCGCCATTAACCTCAGCGATTTGAAACCTAGCCGGTTCAACACGAGTACTGCTAAATCTAAAGCTGAACCAAACCACAGCCTAAACCTACCCGTCACAGACCTAGCGGTGATAAACCTAACTTTCACTTTTCAGGCCCAAGGCTTAGACAGGCCCAGCTCCTAGACCGGAGATAATCTCACACGATGTGGTATAGTCTGACAAGCGTGGGCCCGTGCACGCATCCTCAGTCTTCCTACTTTAAACCTGCCTAGACGGGTTCTGGGTTGGGGGAAGCTGTTGTAATTTTCAAAACCTAACCCTAAAAAGATCCAAATCTAGCACTGAACCAACACTTACCCAAAACCTACCGTTCGTAGACTTATGGACCTGAAACCTTGCCTTCCCAAACCGAATATCCAACGCCCAGTTAGGCTAATCTCTTAGAAGGGAACAAAACAAAACCAACAGGAATATCCTTTTCTCAATCTCCCTACTTCCTGGTCCTCCACATTCTCAGCCCAACGCCCAAATAGGCTGTTCTCCTGGAAAGGAGAGGGATCAATGCTTTCCTGGTATAGTCTAACAGGCGTAGGCCCGTGCACGCATCCTCAGTCTCCCTACTCCAAACCGTGCTAGGTCGGGGGGAGCTGTTGTAATTTTTCAAAACATAACCTAACCCCAAAAATGATGTACCCCCAATTTTCCATATGTTATAATAAATGACCTGTAGGGTATTGTGAGCTGAAACTTCACAGACACATTCTGGGAACACCCAAGACCAATATTACATCTTGTAAAAAGGGTCATAATAGGTGCCCAAACGTAGCAGAAAATTTAACTAACAGATCTTCTCCTGTATTACTCTTGTGCAATAATAATAATGATAATGATGATGATAATAATAATAATAATATTAATAATAATAAATAAGACAAAATAATTTCAGCATTTATTGAAGCAAAGCATTCTAGGAAACAGAAACTAGCTTGACAAATTGGTACTCATACAAATAAAGTTATATTTACTACACTTTTCTGAATAACAAAAGCATAGTGCACAAATAGTACAGATTACTAGATTTTTACAATTAAATTCAACTAAATAAATTATATATAATATTTTTAAATCAAAATCATTGTATTGCATTTTACTTTTTATTTACAATGCACTGAATTTTTATTTATTTAACATCCAAGAAAAGAAAATGCAAAATGCAAGTTATGGTATTATAGGTGCTGAAATACCCAAGAAATGCCTGAAGAATAATTATTGAATGTATCAGGTTAATCACAATTTTCATTACATAAAACCAGGAGTAATGTATCACAAAATAAGATAATAGAGTTGTCACAATATTAATTGTAGATTTGAATGTGACACATGGAGTAAAGCTTTGCAGAATTACAGTGTTTCATTCCATAGCAGAAGCAGTAGCATGAACAGCATACTAGACAGAACCGGTGCAACAGCTGATGATGTTTGCATTATAGGAACACTTTGTGATGTCTGAGTTTGGCTGGTGGTTGAAGTTGAATCTTGCTGTTCCACTGAAAGTATAGGAAAACAAGCACAAACCAGCTAATGAAGGAACAATTCCAGCAAATCATTAGCTACAGTAAAAAACAGTTTGAGGAAATGAGGAAACTCACCAACAGTAATACTGGAAGGAATCACACCAATGAACACTTTTGATTCAGCAATTGCTGTCTTTAGAGATTCTTCAATGCTTGTTGCATTTGGAAGCACAGACTGGTTTTTAAAAATAAGTTCTGTATCCACACCCACTGACCCAGGCCTGGATAAAAAAATATTTTAACAATGTTAGACATCACCAATACCTAAACTACTACAATAAAGGTGTAGGCTTCATTTTGATTACTTTTTTTTTTTAGATTAAGGTATTAAAATGGCAAAATTATTTGGCAAGAAAGTCAAACTCCAACATATCATATTAGTTTTATTGTACTATGCGAAAAACATAAAAAACAACAAGCTTTCAGAAAATAAACCATACATTGACTACAATGTAGTCGGTTATTAATATTTTGTTGGTTCTTCCTTGTTTTTGATTACAGCAGTCATTCTCCTGGTCACACACACACACACACACACACACACACACACATACATATATTATATACAGTCAAACCAAAATGTATTCTGACACCTTCAAAATTTCTCACATTATCACACTTTATTCATTTAAAATTTTGGGTGAACTATCCCTTTACAGTTTTCCCCAATTGCTTAGACACAATTCTGAGAACAACTCACCATTTTCTCAAATCTTCACACACAATTTTAAAATCTCACACCCAACAGTACAAACAGCTAACTTCTGAATCCCAATTCAAACTTTGCCCTCAGTCAATACAAACAAACTGTCAAAAACACAGACTACATGACTGTTTTTTACACATTGGAGGGATAATAAATTCAAAACACTGTTACCAAATGCTTTAGAAGTTTTCAGATCAATAATTTGGAACTTAGTGAAATCACAGCACTGACTAATAACTCTTTCAGAAGCAACCCTGACAAAAACAACCCTAAAATATGACAAGATCTCAAGAGTTAAACTGTGTCAGAACAAATTTGATCTTGATAATGTTAGATAACTTTGATAGAAAGGTATGTAACAAAACATGGCCAGGTCAAAGTGTCAAATCTAATTTTTGGTCCCAAATTTTTATACATTTTACTGGTAGTACATTGTATGAAGAATTTTTGGGTATAATATGTCACATGTCACAGTTTACTTTATTTTGCTATCCTCACATAAATGAATTATAGTGTCCTGCACCCACTAGTAAAAATATCAAAAAATTATGTCTGGTGTCTGAATAATTTTTGGTTTGACTGTATATATATATATATATATATATATATATAGACATACAAATATGTGGTTTGTTAACAAAGATAATGTCTATTTGAAAATTTGCTTCAGTGGTTTCGGAGATGTGAGATCCAGCATGTCAGTGGCCGTTCAGCGCTCATTACACCCGCTGAGAGCACCTCAACTCGGCCAGATCTTCTGGAATTTACTACTGCCTCTGATGTCTATATAGTGGTTAAACATGAGATATATTTCGTTTTGGGTAAATCTAATGGGTAGTCTTTGGTCTCATTAATCTATTATCTGTTTCAGAGCAAATAGTTTTGGCAAAATCTCATCATGTTTATGTAAATTCAATGCTGTATATCAGAGCGCTGCCTTTGTACTTTTGACTGATTTGCCTAGCAACTTTTATGATGGCTGTTGTTGTTTATTACATATTATTATTCATTAAATAATATTTTATATAAATAATAGTAGTATTTAGTATTAGGAAACAGTGTGTGTGTGTGTGTGTGTGTGTGTGTGTTTGTGATGGTGATGGTGATTTAATTTCATTGTTCCGCCATTAGATGGTAACAAGAGACTGTTTTTACGAGTCAGCGGTAAAGACTTTTAAATGTTCAAAACTACGCTTTAGTATTTTTCAAAGGAAGTTATTTTTTCTTTCAACACCAGCTTGTATGCAGCCAACAAATGCACTGAGAAGCACTGTCATCAGAAATCACCCTTAACAGATGAAAGGATAGTACGAGCCTATTGGACATTCAAACTAATGTTTCATTGAGAATATAAAATTGATCTGAAGAATGAATGCTGGATCAGATGCAGGTAATCACAATGGCTCAGTCAATCTCTCTCTCATACACATAATACACAGCTTTTTTCTACAGTAATACAATAAGCTTTTAAATGAAGCAACTCAACGTTTCTTTGTTACTAGTTCTAAAGTGACGTTTTGGAATTAGTAACAGAGGCTTGGACTCAGCTGTTAAAACTGTCAACTTTAGACTTGAATCAGTGAATGAATGAATGACGCATTTATATAGCGCTTTATTGTGTATTGTTGTACACCCAAAGCGCTTTACAATTATATGTGGGGTCTCTCCTCAACCACCACCAGTGTGCAGCATCCACTTGGATGATGCGACGGCAGCCACAGGACAGCGGTGCCAGTGCGCTCACCACACACCAGCTACAGGTGGAGAGGAGAGAGAGTCATAGAGCCAATCAAGTGGTTGGGGATTATTAGGAGGCCATGATTGACAAAGGCCAGGGGGGCAGTGGCAGAAGGAAATAGTTCTGCACAAAAGAGGGCTTTTAAAGACACTCTGCTGTTGTTTCAAATTTATTTACACACTCGTGCCGTCGAACTGTTGTATAAATGCAATATATATATGTATCTGTATATATACGTATATATATATATATATATATATATATCCAGTGAGCTTTTAATGCAGCAACACAAAAGGCTTTTAATGAAGCAACTCAACGTTCCTGCGTTACTAGTTCTAAAGTGACATTTTGGAATTAGTAACAGAGGCTTGGGCTCAGCTGTTAAACTGTCAACTTTAGATTTAAATCCGTGGTTGAAGGAAGTAATTCTGCACAAAGAAGGGCTTTTAAAGACACTCTGTTGTTGTTTTTTATGTATTTACACACTCGTGCCGTCAAACTGTTGTATAAATGCAA